AGAATGGAAACTAACCATAGCTTTTCTGAGGTTGAATCCCAGCATAATCATTTTGCGTCTGGTCTCCGTGCTAACCCAGCTAAGCCCTTCCATGGGCGGTGTGGAGAGGACCACAGCAAGAGAATCCGGGCCAGCCCTCGTACGAGCGGGAGCACTAAAAAAGGGAAAAGTCATGTTCGAACTACACGAGGCACTGAGGTATAGGTCATACTCCAAAGTTACAGCAGAAGGATGACGAACCTGTCAAAAATTAGGCCTTTAATTCGCTGTCTGAGATGTGTCATCCTTTCCGCCTCGGTCCATTTCCATAGTGATATTAGGCATCTAACACCATTCATTGAGAATATGTGACATATCAGAGGACTGAAATTGGTGAACGATAAGCAGGTGAACAACCACAACCGCTCGCCTTTCCAATAGAAAGACTAATAGAGTGTGTAAGTCGTCCCAGAGATAGGAGAGGGAGCAACGCGGCAGCGTAACTACGCCTGCTCCGCGAAACGGTCACAGCTATTCTGGTCGTCAGGGAACTGCCCAGCCCCTGCCAGTAGGGGGAGCTAGAAGCTTCAGTGGAGGCTTTTTCTAGCTAGGGAGCTAGAAAAAGCCGCCACTGAAGCATGTTAGGGCTTAGCTGAATGCTCAAAATACCTTCGAAAATGTTTGGAAAAGCACGGATTAAGGAGCTCACGCGAGAGAGAACTATTAAGCTACGCGATGCAAAACGCTCAATGAAAACCAAATTAAAACTCCTTCTTAATTACCCACCTGTGCTTAAAACTCTCAAAATTTCCGGTCTTAGCATCAATTCCTCGGAACACAGGTGACAGGTAAAAACCGTTCCGTGCATTTGGTGTTGTGTAGTGATAACATGGAGCAATAAAAGAAACTGTTCGATACCTGAAACCAGAGGCGCACTGCACTGCACACTTGTAGAAACGAAAATTTAGCAAGTATTCACGGGAATCTTCCACCACGTGCGGAAGAAAATGACCAAGAAGTCAATCAGTAAAAAGACTTCATATGCCTCGATAGACACCGCTCTCCACGGGCTGCTTAGAATGATGGAATGCCGGTGATTAAAGTCCAGAATCAGAGAGGTAAAAGAAAAATGGGCGTGAAGCTCATCCACTGATCCTACGGTTGTTCGTCTTTTGAAATTGCTTTGCACAACCATAGCAAGGCAGGATCAAGGGACAAAATCTCCGCCAACTTTTTTTTTCGTTTTTCACCGTCTACAGTCGCGGAAAAAACTTTTAACAAGCTCAAGTCGGGCGCTTTTCAATAGTTTTACATACAGTTTTAAATTGCACATGAAAACTTTGTTTGCTAGAATCAAGTACGCCTAGGTAATGCTATTCTAAAAAATTGTTTGTTGATTAAATTCGTTACCGGGACAGAATTTTGAAGATTATTGCGATGCGGCATGCCGCTGCCACTCTGATATTGGACCGGTTTCAAAGTTTCTAATGCTTTGCGACT